GCCCCCCCCCCCCCTGCCATTAGCTGCCTCCTCCGGCTGCCCAATCCCAACTCCAGCTGAACTGTTTGAAAACTCAGACACTCTAGGGTCAGGCACCCATTGCTCTTGTAGTTTTAAAGGTAAATCCCAGTCACTGAGCCCACCTGGGGCCTGCAGGCCAGGAGGAGGCCATGCCTGACAGGAAAAGGCCCTCCTGAGGGCAGAGGCTGCTGCACCCCAGCCACCTCACACCCAGCACCCCCTCCACTGGCAACAACAGCTTCCCAATAAGATGAATATCAAACATTGCCCCATTGACGACAACAGCTTCCCAATAAGATGAATATCAAACATTGCCCCGGGGTCAGCCCCAGGCCTACCTGTGCCTCCTGCTGAGCTGCTGCTTGGCTCCTCCGCTGCTGTGGGCAGGGCTAAGGCCGTCACCAGGCCTTCCCCATTAGCACTTAGCCTCCTCCACTGCTCTTCTGCATTAAATAACCCGGCACAACGGGCCCAACGTGGCACCTGCAGCTCCAGTGGTGCTCTGCAGCAGCCTCTCACCCTACCAGCTGGGACCATGGGTCACGTTTCTGCTTAGTAAAAGCTCTGTCTGTGAGGCCTTGGTGTGGGCAGCCATTGTGTGGAAGGGGTGCCTCAGTAGTACGGGCTGGGGTAGCCCTGAGGAGACACACCTCAGCTACAGCCTGCGAGGGCAGCTCTGCGGGGAAGGGACTACGGATGAAGCTCTGAGGTGGCAGAAAGCGGGAGCACAGACAGCGCTGTGGCAATTGCCCTTGGGTGGGCTGAGGGATAAGCACAGAGGGGACCTCTGCTCATTGTAATTACCCAGAATAAACATACAAAGCTGGAAACAAAGAGTATATATCCATGTGGGCACACGAGGCTCTGCCATGCTGTGCTCTGCTGGGAAAGGGACGAGGGACCCCTCTGTCGTCCTTCTGTGTTTCTTTTGTATGGGCTGCAACTGCCAGGTGGAGCAAGCCCTGCTGACAAGGCGGGCAGGAAAAAGGCAATTCTGTGAGTCCCGACAGGCTTAATGACACACCTGCTGCTCAGGTGTCCCCGCAAGCTCCCGGGCGCAGACATTTAGTCTTGTGGGAGGACATTCAAGTTCCTCCTGGGCTAAGCAGGGACTTCTGGCAGTTTGCATTTGCGAAGCAGATGTTTAAAACTGCTGTTTGCCCTCCAAACCTTTCTGTGGTGATAGTCCTAAGCATAGTACAGCCCAGTCTTCAGAACTGTGTTTAGCTGAAATCAGGGGGACTTGGACAAATAAATATGGCAGTGGTGTCCTTTAATTACCAGAGCCCTTGTGCATATTCTGCTGTGCCTGCATTCTCTCCTGGAATGCTGTATCCGCGACCATCGCTGTGAAGTATCGTTGTAATGGCTGACATTCACAAATGTGCTGAAGTTAATGTATCAAATGGAAATCACTCCAGACCATCCTCAATACTTTATTAACTTAAAACATTGTTCCAATAAATATGTACCAATAAACATAAGACACTCCATAAAATCTAAATAAGGACATTTACAAACCTGTCAACAAAGTAAAAACGGCTTTTCTCTTTTTTTTTGACTGAGGTACATGCAGGGTCATTTAAGGCAAATTCAGTCAATTATACTTTTATAATGATTCCTGCCCACCTCAACCGAGTTTCCTTTTAAAAAATAAAAACCAAAACCAAATATACAAATGATGCTACTGAGTAGCTGTTTTCCAGTTACTAGAACAAGCCCAGAGTGTGGAGGCCAGTAATGGCTCTGGACAGAAAGTCTGTGCCTCACCGGTGCTCCTGCTCTCCTCAGTCAGGATCACTTGTTGGGAGGGTTTCTAGTTATAAGGCATAACTCTGTGCTTTGGCTTTTCCAACTGTCTTTCACAAGTTCCCTTCTCTCCAGAGGATGTAGCAAGAAGTAACCCCTATGCCTCAAACACACATGCACAGAACCAGGCCTTGCACAGAGATAGCTCTCAGAGGATAAAAAGGCCTCTCTGTAACTGTTAATGCAGCTCCTGGTTTGCACCAGAACAAGTGAGAGCAGGATCAGGCCCAAGCTGGTACCTTTGCTTAAAAACCAGCAAGAAGTCAAGCTGCACAGTTCAGTCCTGATCCTCCAGGTTTTCCTGATAGGAAACCAAGAGTGAAGCCACTGAAACTCAACCAAGGCAAGTGCTCCCTACACCACTGCAGAAGACTCTCTGTCATTACTGTGTAAACACTGTTAAACCCGTGTTTCCCTGCAAGGTGATTCAAGCTACTGAACTTCAGTGGGTTCACCTTGGCCATGGGAGAAGTATTTTCCAGCTTACAGATATTTGGTAGCTTATCCATCTTTGGAGTATCAGGCTTCTAAAAGGCTTATTTTCCAGTGTTATTTCAGAAACAGAGAGTGGAAGAGAAAAAAAAAGAAACCCCAGCCTTTTAATTTCTGCTTTCATAGTAATTCAGGTTGAGCTGTCAATGCACGGCTCTGTCCTCTTCTTTCCTCTCTGACCTCCTGGTCAGAAAGATAATACCAGGCTCTACGCTTAGTACAAGGCTTGGGTCCATTGGGGAAGCCAAGGGAATCTGTTCTCATAGTGTTGTAGGTGCTTTCCATGTTGCAGCTGGGGCTCATTTCAGGCCATGCTGTGTCTCCCGGTGCCTCCGTAAATCCACCTTTCGTTGGAAGCCTTTGCCACACAGATCACAGCCGAAGGGCTTGAAGCCTGTGTGCTTCCGACTGTGGGTGATGAGGTTGGAGCTCTGACTAAAGGCTTTCCCACACACCTGGCACTTGTGAGGCTTCTCGCCTGCAAGCAGAAGGCAAGGGAGAGAGAAAGGGTGTTAAAGAGGCAACTTGTTGCTTACACAGGACCAGAGCAAACAGAAAATGCACAGTGGGACTTCGAGCTAATCAAAGGGACTCCTGTGTGATTACTGAGGAAGTCATTCTAACAAATAATGTGCAATTGGGAGCCCCAAAGCACTACCTGAGCCTGCACTGCAGCTGAGCAGGCCTGGACTTGGCTGCACCTCCATCGTACAGCTCTGGGAGCAGCCTTAAGCACAGAGTGCTCTCAGGATACGATAACTTGTGAATGGATTTGGCTGCATGTGTTTTAAACTGCCTTTGTGTCCTAGAAACATGAGGAACTCCTGGAAAGAGTCAGTTCATTCAGACTGACATCAGTTATTATGGCATCACCATGGTGGCAGGTAGGATAGACAGGTGGAGGCTGATAAGCCAAACCCTGTGAGCTGGGGTCCGTCCCTGAGGGAGGTCTGAGTGCCCTTAATGAATCCTGAAGGGCAGGGTTCATACAGAGATCTGCTCTCCTCTCTGTTCCCCACACCGAAGTGCTAGCGGTCACCCCAAGCCAGCCCTGAAATTCTCCTGCAGGCAAATAACATAAAAGGGAGTAAATTCAGCCCTGAAATTTTCCTGCAGAGGGATAAGTGACAAAACTCCACTGGCCTCCATGGGAGCAGGATCTCAGTGCATTTTCATAGTGTTTATTGTCAAATAACGGATAAAAAGGAATCCAACCACAAAACCAAGCCTGATTTTCAGAGCAGCTTTGCACCTGCAGAGCCCACTGACTTCAGCTGGCACAGCAAACTCTTTGCATGTTTGAAGTTTGGCTTCTTAGAAACACAAAATAATACAAAATGTGCGGGAGGCTCAGTTCACAAATGTATGCTGCATACGAAAGGGATCCCTGATTCAGTTAAGGATGTGGTTTTGTATTAGCAATTTAGAAGTCTAGGCACAAGTTCTGATCTCACAACCAAATAATGGTCTTGACTGATTCACAATTTGGCTGAAATTCTACTTAATCAAGCCTCATGTGAAAAAGTTACTGTGGAACTTTTTGTGTTACTCCTAAATAGTTCGTTTTCGTCCAGCAAGCTTCTAGTGGAAAATCTCTGTAAGTAACATTTCTTGTTCACTGCTTGTCCTCTAGAAAAGTAACAACCAAGCAGTGCTACACATAATGTTGCAACATCTTTCTACATGTTTGCCATGTTTAGGCTTCACCCTTGATAGCTGCTAGAGATTACTACCAGGAAACAGGATTTTGGTCATCTGAACCTCGGGTTTGGCCAGTAGAGCTGCTATTTTTGTGTCTACAACTGCTTCTGTATCTCACACATCATTCATTTCCCTTTACTTTAAGTGAGTGATGCAGGTCTGAAAGGCAAGATTTTCTTTTCAAGATTTCTGATAAACTTGCCTTCTCACTGAATGGTATTTTTAAAACAATTTCCTTTGGTGATTCACCTGCACTTTATTAGTTTCCATGTTTATTACTAACAGTGAAACTTGAGAACTTTGCACTTCTCCTTCCATTCTGTACAAAACTGCAGCATGTGGAAGTGCAGACACCTCTGAACAAATATTTAGTCTGAGTTGGACCCTAGGCCCTCCAGTTTAGTGTTTGATCTACAGGAGGAGACTCCTGTTGTTCCTATTGTCAACTGGTTGATCCTGCAAAAAAAAATGCTGCAATCAAATTCACGTCTCGTTTTCCAGGGACCTCAGCTGTAAATCAAGGCTACATGAACATAACACTCTGCAAATCATCTTACACAAAAGCCCTTTGAATAAACATTGGTGGATCCTACTAAGGGAACACTGTTTGGATTGTGAGGATTTGGGTTATTTTGCAGCTGACTTTCATTCAGTTCACCCTCCTTTGCATGAGTAGAGCACAGAACAGCAGCAGGGCACTGAGAAGCACGGGGAGGTGCATGTACTGTCCCAGTAGAAGAGGAATGGACAGACCTCTTCAGAGACTGCCCTCACAGTCAGGGCTGAACACCAGCAGCTGCAGGGCTGACCTGTGTGAATGAAGGTGTGTTTCTTCATATCCGATTTCTGGTGGAACCGCTTCCCACAGTACTGGCACGGGTAGGGCCGGGTGTCTGAGTGGATGAGCAGGTGAGTGGACAGAGTAGAAGATCTCTTAAAACTCTTGCCACAAATCTTACAATCAAAGCTGCGTTCCTGCAGAGAGAGGAGCCCACACACACACACGTTACACCACACGAACACATCAGCGTTGCCCCTTCTGCCTTAGCAAGCGCTTCCACTTCTCCAGAGAACTGGACTGGCCTGCAGAGATGTTAATACTGATGCTAACTAGATGCTAATGTGACAGCACCACATGATAAAAAGATAAGGCACCCTCTCCCAGTGCTGTGCACCACTCCTCACAAAAATTTGACTGAACAACTCTTCCTGATGGCAGGAATGGCCATGTTGGGAGCAGCCCTGAGTGACTGGGCAAAGTCCACCTGCGCATTTCAACAGAGGCCCAAGACATGATCACTCCACTGAGAAGCCCAACACCTGCAGCACTGTTCAGAGGCCACCTCTCCACTGTACACAGGGCAGTGGGTGCTGAGGTCTGCTTGGCTTTCCTGGGAAACCTCTATGGCAGGCTGGCTTCTGCTGGCATAACAACTAACTGCTTATTTGTAGTTCCATTTAAATAGGGAACGTTCCCAGGAGCACCTAGGGAAAACAGCTTTTTGGCTTGCTACTTTAACATATCAGAATACATTCATTAAGACTTTGCTGTCTCTCTCCCCTCCCTCACACAATCCTCTCCACCAATTTCTTCCACCATAAATCATATCTTCTTTCCATCCCTCAACTACCATCACACCTGCCTCTTCCTGCCATGCTTTCATACAATCATCTTAGTTTGGCTTTTAACGCACTCCCCCTGAAATGTTGTCCCCTTCATGGACAAAATATGCAGTGCTGCTCTTTTCACCACTATTTTAATGGGTGATGAGATATTTCCTCTTATTTTGCACTCTGCTGTTGCACACTCTAGAAAGTGTAAATAAAACAGCAAAAAACCACTGCTATAACTCAATCCTCCAAAAGCTGATCTGAAGAAGGAAGATTTGCCAGGTCAAGTGGGTGGGGAAGGGGAAATATGGCACAACACCATCAGGTGGAAAATGTTACATGTCCTCCTACCAAAATTAACTACTATATTCTTTTGGTATGTGACTCAGAGTGTGTCAGGATGGGCAAAGTCTGTGCTCTGTACCTGACTGGTCGTTGAGATGTTCCCTAGACAGACACAATGACTACAAACAATGGAAGAATCA